AGGGGTGATCTAGTCCAGCGCCGGCTGCTCACGGAGCGTCAGTAATTTCGGTGGAGGCGAACAGCTGCTTCGTGTTTTAATTTAGAAAGAAACGTGCAGCTATTTTTGTGCGGCAAGGTCAGAAGCAAAGCCGGCACCCTTTTGTAAACGGCCACCAACACACCCGAGCTCTTGACGTCGCGACATACCACAGAGCACACTGTAACATAAACCATACCATCACACAACAACGGGACCGGTCACGACAGCACCGAGAAGGTGCACTAAAAAAATCCAGGCCGTGCCTATGCGGAGCGTTACTGGGGAGAGGGGGGATCGGGCAGCCCTGGGGGCGCATCTCGGAGGTGGGACTTGCCGGCAGAGGGTTCTCCGGGACCGGCCCCGAGCACCCGGCTCTGGCCCCGACGGCCCCGCGGCTTCGGGACTTCGCCTTTCCTTTTCGCCGGGCGATGCGACGTTAAAATATATATATATTCGCCTCTCATCGGTAGTTTTTACGGTCCTTTAACGCGCTGCCACCCTCGACCCGTACGAAGAGCACATCCAAATATTTAGTGTACAGAGACGCGGGTCCCAGCGGCGGCGGGAACAGGAGCCTACCACCCAGGATATATTTTTCGTAAAAAGCCAAAGGGACAGCGGCTATTTGGCACGTGTGGTGTTAGACGGATTCACTAGCAATTCGCGTTTCTAGTTCAAGAAAAAGGAGTCTGGAGGAAACGGGCCGGGGTTTTGCGCAGCAAGGTATTACAAGGTGAGTTTTGATTGTGGGCAGCTGCCTCTGGGAAGCTGCCCTTTCACTGCCAGGGCACCCCAGCACAGAGGGGTTTTCTTGCTGGGAAAGAGCTCTTTAAAAATAAAAGCAGATACTGAAGGAACATACTGATTTTTGTAACTACTCTGTTGAAATTCCTTTTCTGCTTGCTGTACATCTTAAATATTATATTCTGGCCATTTCCTCTCTCTCCCGTTTCATGATAAAAGAGTCATTCCTGCCCCCCAAAATAGAGCCACGTCTGTGTCAGTTGTGATACAGGATTAACCGGCAGATAATAGCTTCAGGGGACTATATAAAGGAAAAAAAAAAATCTTCTGTATGAAGCTCTTTGACCATATTTCTGTGGTCATTTTAATGCCTGGCTTCCTCAGGTCTTTCACTGACATCCTCAGTATTTAACTAGCCTCTATTTCCTCCTCTAGCCCCCTATTAATTTATTATTTTTTTTTTAGGTTTCCAGGTAGCTTCTAAGCCTCCAAATAAATGTATTATTCTGAGCGGCTGCCCCTGCATCCAGCCCCTGTAGGAGGGTACCACAGGGAGCAGCTATGTTAGAGACATGGGCTAGCGTGACCCACAGCCCCCCAAACACAGAACCCTGCTCTCCCGGCATCCGCCAGCTGCACAGCACAACAAAAAAGCCTTCAGCTTCAGTGACAATCTGCACTCCTCGCCTGCAGAGCCACCTTTATCCTGCTCGCCATGGCGAAAAAGGGAAAGGCCTAAGATTTGCTAATACCAAGAAAGCTCCAAAACATTGACAAAGCAGAAAGGTCTTACCTGAGGGAGCCAGTGCACCATTAGCTGACCTCAAGTGCTGTGACCAGGGCCAGTTTATGGCCGCAGATTAGATCACCTGAAACCTGCCCTTACCCCCAGCTGTGGAGACTGCCTGTGTATCTCTGAAGGCTGAATTCCCCTTCCTACCCCCCAACTACCAGACAGCAATAACTCTTACCAGCCTCCTCACAGGGAGCCTGCAGCGAGGTGACAGCGGTGTTGCAGCGCTGGGACCGCTGCTGGCGCATTCCTGGGAGCGGGGCTTTCCAGCCGAGCGGCTCTGAGATGCATCTGCCACCGGCAGCCGGTTTCACAGGGTGCCCGTGGGCAACAGCATGTGGAGTCTGCAAGGAAATCAGACCCTGAGGGGTATTTTGGGTCTCATCAATGCAGTTTGGCTACACCTGAGTGGGGCTGGGGTTAAACAGACCCCCACGTGGAAACAATCAAGTTAACGACTAACCTCCAAATTACTAGAAGTGAAAGAATCGCAGGCTGCCAGGGAGGCCAGGGTGTGGTGACCCTCCCCATCACAGCTGTGCTGAATTTATCTGAAGAGATTCAGAGAGGAAGAGTCTGCCACTTCCCTCGATGAAATTTCAGTGAAGTGGAATCCATCACCCCAGCAGAGAATGACATTTTAAACTGCTTTAACTCAGTATCAATGTTCAAATTGATTAGCCTATTTCATCTCAATGGAAATTCTCACCTCATTACATTAGCGGCCAAACTTCAAATATTTTTTGAATAAAATACTACTTAAACAGTATTTCAGAATACTTAGCTGACAAAATTCATTGCTTAATTTCAAATTACTGTCTGCGTTTAATGCTAAATTGTCAATGGATGAAATATATAACAGTTCTGGGAGCTGAGCCTGGAAGCTAAGGCTACCCAGCTCCCCGGTTTCACAGTACATTTTCTCTTTGACTTGATAAATGTCTCGCTCCTGGCTGAGCGGCAAGCAGAGATTCAAAAGGAGGCTGTAGACAGCATTTTCTAGCCTTCCAAAACCAGTTTAATCCCTGATACATAAGATACTCGCCAGGGAATTAAGACAGGCAGGTTCGATTTTTCCTCAGAGAGGGAAGTGAACTGAACCCAGGTCCTCTATTTCCAGTTAATTCTTTAACAGAGGTGGTTTCCAGCCAGGCTGTAAGCGAGCCTAAGAAAACTAGGAATGTTCAATGCTTCACCATTCAGTTCCCTCTGTATCTGGTCTGTCATTTGCTTCTCCTTACTGGCTAGAAACCACTGTGGTAGGCAACAGTATAAAATTTTTGCTCACAGCACTGTCTCCGGCAGTTTTACTTTTTTTTTTTTTTTTTTTTAGTTAAAAATGTCTAAGTAAGTCACTGACTTGTTTGAGATGCTGGATCCTGTCCGGCATGCTCTGAAAACGCTGCTGCTCCCAGCTCCCTCCACACTTGAGCCAAGCTTAGAGAGCAGGGAGAGCTGCTCCCAGTACACAACTTGTCTTTAAAACATTATGGATCATAAAGAGCAGGAGATGCCTCTGTAGGTTAAGTGCATCAAATGGGAATTCTGAATAGGCATCACAGGTTTGTTTAAATCCTGCCTTAAACACCTAAAGACTTCACTGACCTCTGTCTCAGTTGCATTCTCAAGGTAGTGCTGCTACACTGTACTTGGGTGGCTGCATCTCAAGGTACTGCTGCTACACTGTACTCGGGTAGTGCTGCGAGGACCAATGCTGCACAATTCTTCTATTGCTTAAAAGAAATAAGACTCCTTTGAATAAATAAGCTGTGATAGAAATATATTTACACTATGCACATTTTTACAGGAAATACAACTTACTGAAAAATTGTCAGTAATAATACCACCACCCTACAATTCACTACAGTCAAAACTAAAGGGTTTGAATTTTTAAGGTTTTTATTAGAGAAGTTGAAAGTTTCATCTCAGGACTGACAATAACATAATTATCTCTTTTAATTTCTTCTGTTTATAGGAATATGTAGAATTTGTTTGTACAAGCATATACAACAAAGTAATTGGTGCTTAGTACATTGAAATCAGGAATCTGATTTGTTCTAAACTACCAGTTTTCCATGCAGTCATCTTTGAATTGGCAGCATGGACAAATTCCAAGCGGAATGCTTACATGCATTGTTTTGCATTATAACTACAGCAAGCGCTGGAAACATGCAAATCGACACATTAGCAAATTGTTTTTATATCTAATGGACATAAAAAGGTTATTCCTGATATGAAATTCTGAAAATCTGCATAAATACTTTTGTGTAAAATTAAATTAGTTATGTACTTTTCTTTTACTACAAGTATCAAGAATGCCCACGTAATTAATATACACACATATATATATATAGACCTTGTTATGCTAAAAGTCTTTGTAATTAATCAAACGATATTCTGTGCCATACATTTATTCAGTATTTACCAGCTAGTAGAATGACTGTGGTCATATAGTAGGCATTACAGTCTCAATAGCATTTGTATCACATGCAAACATACTCTTAGCATTTCTGTTTACTAATTTTATCACGTGGCAACATGTATGTGATTTTCTACAATGTTGTGATTCTGAAGTGTATAAATACTTTTTACATTTTCACAGTTACAAACTTTTTGCCAAAAGCCATTTAAACAATCTTTAAGTTACAATGAACTGTAGTATCTGGGATCTGCAGCAACAGGATCAAAATGCAATTTCTATACAAGCAATGTAAGATGTAAACTTTTCTTAAAGTGCCTAATATGTAATTCCTTAGAGCACTGATCAGTTTTGGCACAAATACACTGTATTTCCCTCACACTAACCATTGCAGTAACTTTTACAGGATACTGGCTTCTTTCAGACGTGATAGAGCTGATATGGCACTTGTGAATGACATCACTGGACTGTGGAAATATCCTGTCAAGTTACTGTTGCAGCTGATGAATTCGGCTGATGACTTTGTACATATTGTACGTCTGAATATACGCAGTTAACTTTCAACTGCCTACTGTCTGCTGCCCCAAAAATAGTTTGAAATATAATTTAAAATTGCCCAAACAACTCCTTACTATACTGATTATTACGGTGATTTAGCAGAAGATCCAGTTCAGTGGGCTCGATGACATCAGGTGCTGAGCATCTGACGAGTTGTTGCTTGCCGGGATCTGGCAGCATGTGTTTTCTACACAATATATCACACATGAGAACACAAATGGTAAATAACATGACTTGACAATAGTTTTGTTGCCATTTGAGATGACGTTAAAAGTATCTGTTGTGTTTCAAGGCTCTGATTCTGTAATTCTGATACAGGCAAGCTGCCTGTCGAGATACAGAAAGGAATACAGGGCTGGGTTTAAAAACTGTCTTCATCTTCTGATTAGTGTTTTTCTGAAAAAAGGAAATTTTAATCTTGGAAATCCAACAAAGGAAATTCAGTGCCCAGTGTTAAAAAAGGAATAATGGAAACCTTAAGACTTGGTGGTCCGTAGCTACACTTTATACATTAAAACCAAAAAACCAACCCCCCCCCTCGCCCCCTCCAAACCAAAACAAAAAAGCCCACTTTTCAACCTCAGCAATGTTATTTTGAATTTCGCTTTCATTTTAAGGATGCTGTGCTCTCTAACTTCAATTTGCTTGTTGAGGCTTTAGACCACTGTTGCTGGCCTGCGATCCATCTCTGCTTCCAGCTTCACCATCTGCTGCATCTCCTTTGCCTGCAATCCAAAATAACCGCATGAAACATTGCATTAGACCTTTTGTTCAAAATGAAACATGTTTTATATGATAGTGTCTGAGTGAAATACAGGCAAAACACACTGAAAATATATGTAATAAAATTAATGTCATAAATCATGTCATTCTGTTTTCAAAATCAGATGTAATTCTTATGTCTACAAATTCTTGGGAAGTATTTTTGATCCTATTCTAAGGCTCATGGGTTGACTTGCTGAAGAAGTATATGGTAAAATGCAGAAGCTCCACTTTTGGGGAGGAAAAATAGGCAGATGCCGATCCGACTGTTTCTCCCGACAGAAGCTATCTTTGGGAATGTATGCTTCACCACTGTTGTGCGAGTACTGTGATGTGTTACTTCCTGAAATGCTTAGAGAGTTCATCTGTGATTTAGACTCGTTTCTTTCATAAAGAAAATGAATGACAAAAATCCATCAACGTAACATCTTCTTTGCAGTAGGCAAGATTTTTTTTAAGTAATAATGTTTTAAATAAGATTTTTTTAAAAATAATCATCCTTACGATGACAGATGTGCTGTTTTTTCACTTTAGGATTAGACTACTGCTGGGATTACTACTACCATGGGATTACACACACTGAATCCACCTGAAACTGTATCCAAAGGCATTGTGCAGAATACAGCAATGAACATATGCCAGATCTTGCTATAAACTCCGCATGCCTCGGACTTTGCAAGCACAGTTAAAGCACTGTGTATAAACAGTAACTGGCCTGGGAATCCCCTGCTTAGAGAGCTTTTTTTTATTCCCTTCCTCTCCCTCTCTTTTTCTCTCTCTCTCTCTGTGACATGCACGCACGCACACTTACTCCTCCTGTGGCTCAGTTAGAGATTAGAAGTTGTTCTTTGGTTTGAAACTCTGCAGTTTAAGGGCACTGGGAGTCACCATCTCTTCATTTTCTCTGAGGGTTCTCAATGTGGGAAGTTAGTTAAATCCATAACCCAAAGGACTCTGAATAAATTGACCCAGAGGACAAGCTAACCCATCTATTTTTACAAGCAAGCTCCTGAGGATTAGGACAGGTTTAGGAAGAGGCAAACCAAGCTGTTTTCTTCTTTGGTGTAACTGCTTTGTGTCAGTCATGCAGGAAAGAACGGTTACTGGATTTGATTTATGTGAACCATGTTCCTCAAAAAGTTGTAAACGTTGCTTAGACAGGGAACTTTGCTATACAAGCTCCTATTTAAGGAGTCACCTGCCCTATTTAAGGAGTCACCGATTCTGGATGTGCAAACACATATTTGCATATGCAAAAATAAGCAGATGTAGCTCTAAAGTAATGAGATGCACAGCTACTCATTTTGCAAGGTAAATGTAGGTTTTGTGCAGATGTGATATATGTACCTTCTTGAAAAATCTAGCCCTGTACTTTCATAATCATCATCATCATCATCTTGGGGAAAAAGTAATTATGATAATAGCAAAGCAACTGTCATAAATATGATTAAAAATTAATCAATGCTATCAATTTAAATGAGTTAAAAGCTTGAAAGTAATGAAGAAATA